AGCAGGAACAGACTGACAGTATAAACCAAGAGACTTGTCAGCTAATCCCCACTCACATATCTCCACAGCCCCACACAGCTCTTTCTCATCGCTGCCTCCAAGGCCAGTACTTCCCTGGGGAGCTCTGCCCTCCCGTTAATCTTCCAGCTGCACTAAACCCCTTGCTCCTACAGCTCTATGCTCAAAAACACAGTGGAGTCACAGAGCAAATCATAAGGCAGCATCTTTTGAAGAGATCTACCTGTATTAAGGAAACAGTAATTTGCAGTTTAACGGACAAGGGAAGCCAAGGGAAAAATACTGAACATCATGAAAGTAGAGAAGTGGGATATTAAGCAGCTTTCCTAATGAGCATTTCTCTTGCTGTCCTCCGCAAAAGTTGCCAGGCAGATATCAGCAGGACAAGGTTCTGCCCTGGTTCCTTCACCCATGTTTTTGGGGACCAAAGGCTGTGCTCCTCTCTCTACGAGAGGGCAGCTGGTCTGACAAGGGTGGTTTTATCCTCTTGCCAGAAAGTGCCCATGGCTGCAAGCTGGGAGCTCTGGAGACTGAACTCTGAGGTGGGACAGGTGCCCAAGTGCAGGTCTGCATGTACACTCAGACCCAGAAGCAGAGCTCGTTGCTTTGTCGGGCCATGATCGCCCTCCTTGATGCATCTTGTCTGAGCAGCAGTTGCTTAGGGAACAGGAATGAAAGGTTAATTAACCTTTCATTAACCTTTATTAACCATTAATTAACCTAATGAGAGATCAGCAGCCGCACCTGATATTGTCACAAGGACGTTAAGGCCCTCTAGTACGTCCATCTGTTGAAATCGCCGTCTGTTGATCAGGTTGTAGACCTTCCCTTGTCCACTTCGATCCAGCAGCATCAGGCCGTTTTCCGTGCCCACCAGGAGATTCACACCTGTGCAGGAAACAGAGGATAACTGGCATCAGGATCCACGGCTGTGGCCCGTGAGGGCCTGCTCCAAAGGATTATGTCCTATGGTCACTTTCTCCTACTTCATGCACCACCAACAGAGTGACAGTCACCATGAAGGCTGGTGTTCCTGTAAACATCAAGGGTCACTCTTACAGCAAAACCAAGACATAAAATATTTTACACTTCGGTATCTTTCCACACTGCTTTCATCAGTGGAAGTAAAATGATGTTTACTTTCGGCAAAAAACAGGAAGGAAAAGCTTAACTGATAGGGCCAGAGATATCATTGATTTGAAGCCACAAAAGTATTTTTGACAACTTCAGTCTTATCCTGGCTCTTAGGAGCTGGACTGCCACATCATGGCCTTAACAGGAGGGATATGTGATGCAAGCTGCTGGACGGCACCCAGGAAACAAGCACGAGGCTTCCTGAGACAGGAGGCTCATTCTTCAAGCAGTCACACACAAGCTGAATCACACAAGCTGAAGTGGGGCTGGGCGTCACCGCGACCTCCTGGCCCAGTCAGGACCTGCTCAGGGTGTCAAGGACAGAATGGACATTTGCCTTGTGCAGCACAGAAAGCAGGGCCACCTGAGGCAGGGGCTCAGTTTGGGGCTAAAATCTTTGTGTTCCCTTGCTAGCCACGTGCTCCTGGGAGCTTTACAGAGGGGGCTGGCAAGGAGGAGCTTACCCCACAGAGCAGCACAGAGGATTTCCGAGTTGAAGCGCTTCTTGTACTTCCTGATCTCGGGGGTATCGCTGTGGGGGCGGATGTTGGTGGGGTTCACGTTCACCACGGAGATCTTCCGCGCTTCGTTCAGCTTGGCCTGCTCTTGTCTGAGCAGTTCACTGGTAAACAGTGCTGGGAAGACACAAAAACAAATGTGGAGCCATGACTGACGAGCTCTACATACTTATGCTATCAGGATTTAGGCAAATAGGGAGAAACTACTCATTTTTTTTTTCTGTCAAGGAAGTCATCAGTAGGTAACAAGCTTTATTTTTTGTGAGGAGCTCATTGTGGGTTTGAACCCAGAGCAAGTTGATGTAGCTGAGGTGCCCAGACTCTCAATCCAGCCTACAAAGTTGACCAATGCTTTCTCTGCCTATTTGTCCACATCTGTGACTTCTGAGCAATTGTAAACTTTCCAGGTCTGTCTGCCACATCCTGGTTCTGCAAAGGCAGCCTCAACATTTTTCCCAGCTGCACTTAGAGTCAGGGATAGATGAATTTTTACTATTCCCTATTCTCTCTTGGGGCTCTCTTTCTTGTGGTATTCTACTGGTGATGAAAGGAAGATTTGTAGGAAATTGGAGAGCACAAGGATACAGACGTGAGCAATATTTTGACGAGAGTAAATTAAATCTGGAAGAGATTTGGTGTGGAGAGGTGCTTTCCACGAGCTAGTTTTCGTGAGGCGGCCCCATCCACATTGCTTCCTACCAGTAGCAGATGATTCTTCATCTTCGTCTTCATCTTCATCAGTAGGCGAGGTCTGATACACTCTGGTGTCCACAAAGGGCGTGAAAGAGGCTTTGGTGCTACTTCCCATACCGTACTGGAAAACAGAGCAGAGCAAGAGCTCAGAGCACGGCAATGATGATAACATTAGCGGAGACCCCCCTGTTGGCACCCCAGCACCTGCCACTGCTGTGCTCTGTGAGCCCCCCACTTTCACAGACCTTCCACGAACATCTGCTCCTCCTTCCCTTTCACTCATGGGGGACACGAGAGGGGATGCCAGGAAGCCTGTGGAGCACCAGCAGGCGCAAGGCCGAGCGGCAGGTGAGCAGTGCTGGGGCCATGTTAGCCGAGAAGCTGCAGCGTCTCAGTCAGAAGTGCCCTTAACTCCACCTTTCCATGGTCTCCCAGCCTCACACGTCTGGATGAGCCTCCCAGGAGAGCTCTGGGAGCCTCCAGAAGGGCCCCGGCGCTGCCCTGCTCCGCGGTGTAGCGCCCACGTCCAAGACGCCACGGCAACACGGCGCCGCAGAAGGAGCTACCGGAGTGACCCCGCTTTCCTCGGGCCCGTGCCTTAGCCGAGCGCCCGCCTGGCCCAGCTGAAGCGAGGCTTTATCTGAATGGGTTGTCAAAAACTATTTTGGAACCTGTCAAACTTGCACGAGAGCTCCTGCAGCCACAGTGCCGCTCAGGCTTATGTCTGTTATCTAGGGATCTGCCGGGCTGAGACCAAGACATTTTTTCCCCCAGGAAAGCAGCGCATCTCAGCTCTTGGGTAACAGGCCTGTTTTTCATTCTGCTGGGCTGTGTTGTCACTGCTCCCAAATCTGTCACCAGAGCATGGCTGAGCTGTGGCCCTTCAGTAGGCCTGGCTACCCAGAGTTTGGGAGAAGGTTATGTGCTTGAGTGGGGAGAAGCAGGAAGGTTTTTGGGTGAGTTGTACGGGGATTTAGGGAGTTTTTTAGGGAGATCTGGTATGCAAAACCATGGGAAGTCTGCCTTACTCACACTGCTCCACCCCCCTCAAATGCTGGTGTTTAGCACATATCGTGTACAGCACACAGGGGATCACGTATGGGTTATCTGCAATTTCAATGCACTATTTAAAAACTGTCTACACCATTTCAAGTGAGAATGCTGAAGAGGTCATTCCTAAGCTATCAGAACTTAACTGGAACATATCACAGGGAATGGCAGAAGCATTACTTCACTAAGGGAATTTGGGGAGGAATATGTGACAACTGCGCACTGCCCTTTTTTGAAGCCAGTGCTTTGTTAGGGCAGAGAATGAGGTTAAGACCTTCTCCCAGGCAAAATGAAATCCTTATCTTGGGAGTCAAAATGACATGATCTCCACTCCTTGTTGAGCAGCTTATTTTTCCTATTACACTGTTTATCTAGGATATTCTTTATTTATGACCTATATTAAGACCTGTTACAGCAGTGAAAATCAAATTTGCAGCGGCAGCAGCAGAACTGTTCACATTTTCCTTCCTCAGGACATTTTTCTTCCCTAAAGTAAATCTTCCTTAGCTTTCTTTTAAGTCACTAAGCCAACAACATTAAGCCTGCTGTCCGTGCCCAAGGTCAAAGCTGGCAGCCCCCATGCTGGCAAACTGCATGGATAAGATCAATTAAAAAGACCAGAGAGCAAGGTGAGCTGGCGAGCAAGGTGGAATATGATGAGACAGGAGAGAAGCACCCACGGGAGAGACCCCACGTCCCTCGTGGGTCTGCCCTGCTCTAAAGAAGCCACTTGAGCTGCATGGAGTAACTGCAGCTCTCATGGTGCAGGTTGAAAGAATAACCCTAGTGAGTAAGAGTGAACATGGAGTTGAAAAGAACGCTCCCACATTTTGCACGTTTCCAATGTTTCACTGCGGAAATTCAACTTTGACCATGGGCCGGAGACGACGGAGGGTGGAAACTACCAGGAGAGGCTTCCCGGTTGGAGTGTGTGGGGCAGGAGAAGGGCTCCAGGCTCTGCTAGGAGTCTGTATCCATCTCCCGTGCCTGTCGGCGCGTTGCGCCGCTTGCTTTGCTCGCTATCTGTATGCCAACAGCTTCATCACAGCGCTTCCGTTTCCATAGAAACTGGATGAATTTCCCCAAAAATAAAGGGTAACTAAGAGCCATGCAAAGAGTTAAGTGCCTGAGGCAGAGAATACTGCAGGAAAAGATAGTGTATTTGTGTGTACGTTATGGCCAAAATGTCTGCATGTGCATATCAGATACACTCCCTGCCTTGTTTCATTCATACACAATAAACGTGTTTTTTTTTTTCCTACATAGCATGTTTGCTTTTTCCATAAAGACCAGCAGCTCAAGGAGGAAAAATCTAGTATTTACATAGATCCTTTTCTGATCCAGATGCTTTCAAATTAATGACTTATGATGTACAAATCCTTCATTTGGATGCACGCAGCATCTTTTTTCTTTGCTCAGATTTGGTTGCTCTTCTCCTAAGAACTGGCATTTTAGTAATTTCCATATCTGTTATTTAAACATTAAGACCTCACCTTGCTTCAGGTCCTGTTCAACCTTCTTTTCACTTGTCTCAGCTTGAGTCAGTATCAAGCTGCAGATGAAATACTGTGGGGTCCCTTTCAATCTCCTATTCTGACAGTGGCTAAAACCAAATAAATAAACGAAACAACCTGAATTGCCAACGGTCATTTTATAAAGTATCACTGTTAAAACAAGCACTGATGCAGATGTGGCCTTTGATGCACTGAAATCAGCTGTGTGCTCCACTGCATGGGTCAAACTGCCAGGTCCAACTTCCAAACAAGACGTCTATGTGCCGGTCGGGCACGGATAGTTTTGCTTGCACTACTGGAAGCCTCTGAACTAAATCCATAACTTTCCACTTCCACCCACTCCTGGCTTTCTCAGCCCTGAAAATGCAGTTTCAGAAACGGAAAACATCTTCTTGATTGGTAATCCACAAATGAATATATTTCAACCCAATCCTTGTAGCTTGCCCGCCCAGGTTTAAGCAGTATTGGAATAACTCTAAAAGGTGCTGCTTTCAGGACCAGCTGTCTCATCGTTGCTTTCAAAGGAAACGGAGAAAACCCTGAGGTCAAGTCATGCACCATCTGTTCTTACATTTTATCAATGCAAAATTTCAAGCAATTTTTATACTGATAGTAAACTACAAAGTGGGTGCATCATACCCATAAAAGAAAACAAGATGACAAAACTCTTAATGTGTGTGCAGCAAGAAGAAAAAAAAAAAAAAGCTTATTTAACACAAAATGTGTTGAGTTTTCATGGGAAAATAGAGGAAAATGTTCATGGTCCCTCCAGTCTGGAATCCTAAGCAAGACACACCAATTCACTTGTCTTAAGGATAAAATATTGTGCTTGTTAGGATTTGTTTATGTTCTGTACAAAGATTACATTCAAACACATCCCTGTAAACCAGCTGCCAAGAAGAACTCCTCTGCTGTGACTAGGAACACGCATGTTTAAAGGTGTGCAAAATGTTTTTAGCCTGAAGAACTAAACTGTATTTTTTTGGCTTCGTAATTTCTGTTAACCTTTCAGATTCTGTTTAGTATCAGAACAGAGATGGCAACAGATAGAAGCCTGGCCCAGAGGAAAAAAAATGGCATTACTTGGTGTCATGTTCTTCTCATATTTCCAAGTGCAAAAAATGGGGATTTTCACATATGTTGGCAGCACTCAAGCCTTCATTACCAAAGAAACAGGTGATGGCTTGAGATTAAGTCAGGTACAAGCTTGCACCAAACATACACCCCTGTATGAATAATCCAGCGTATTCCCTTTTATTCCCACAAGACTCACAATCATCCACACGGACTGGAGGCAGAGAGAAGAGCAAAGAAAGCCAGGGGAAAACCAAAACATGCGAAAGCCCCTTCGTCAGGCAGAGGTGTTAATGCTCGTGGGAAGCAATGCAGAGGAACAGGAGGAGCCCCCACCACCTACTTCAGGCACCGAGTCCATGTCCTGCGCATGCGTGGAGCCTCGGCCCAGCGCCTCGGTCGGCGTGCCCGCCGGCGAGTGGCTCTGCTGCACCAGGTCAGGCAGATTGATGTGGCCTGCAAAGCCATTGCTGGCCGCGTGGCCTGAGCGCTTTTTTTCACCAGAGGTCTGCAGAGACACAAGGTGTGAAGAAGAAAGAGAAAGGGGAAAAAAAAAGAGAAAAGGAGGAGAAAAAAAACAAACCCAAACCAAGTCCACTGCAGTCACCCAGTTCCCGAAGCAAGCACAGCACAAGGACTCTCTCTGCTGTCTCTGTCCCCATGCAATCAATCTGGCAAGCAGCAGATCAGATCGAACCACCCCCCAAGAGACATAAAGAGAGGATTAATCACAAAGTCAATCCAGAGTCATGAGGCACATTACAGCAAGAGGAGAAGCCTCGTTACCATTGTTTTGAAAGAGGCACCTCAGGCCAGATTCTGGTCTTACCACCATGGGTGCCCAAACCCATGGCCACGCCATGGCCAGCTCTGCTTCCCAGACCAGGGGCCCTGCCAGTGTCATGGCTGACCCTTGAATCTACCCTTTGATCAGCATTAGTGTCAGTGGCTTTCCAAAGCCACCACGGCAAGCAGCCCGACTGCAGGATTTGCAAAGGCTAACACAGCCCCCGTGGCATGTTTCTGTACCACAAAACAGCAGTGAACAGCATCGGCGCCTCCCCTGCGCACGTTCACGCAACGACTCCTGTCGTGCGCTGCGCGCAAAGCTCCCCTTAGGGTCAACAAGTCTCTGCAGAGCAAAGATTCTCCCACTGACATTTTAGGTAAATACTTTAATCCAAGACAGAATCTTCTCCCCTCCCTTTCCGTCTCTGAGGTATCCGCTGTTTGGATGTTGCCACTGGTCCCACATACCCGTAGCACATCAGTGAGACTGTTAAGAGAATTGTCCATTTACACGATTAACGAAAAAAAATCCCTTTGCACAGGCTCACCAACCTTCTGATTGCTTCTGATCCACTTCTGAAGATTTTTTTTACTTATTAACATCACCTTAAACCATCTTGCTGCCCTGTTTGTGGAGGAAGGCGCGAAAGCCCTTCATCCACAGCCACTGGCATGGGCAGAGTCTCATCACTGACTGCTACGATTGCAGATTGGGAGCACAGGAGTAGCATCCAGCACAGGACTGCCCTTTGGGCTCTCTGCTCTGAACAGAGATGCCTGCATTTACAGTTTTGCATTTACATTACAGGTTGCCCAACGCCAAAATTCATGGTGAGAGGCAGCAAACATCACGTGCCTGCTTTTGCTTGCTCCTTTCTTCTAAAATTGCACAAGACAATTTTTCCTTCATGTGAATATTTTATATAAAGAAACGAGAAAAACTCAAGCCTACTTCACAGCTACTACCTACTCTGAAGGTGCCTCCTTTACAATTCCTTGGTCCAAACTCCCCTCCCTCCTCATCCCTTCGCATATTTCTTCCTTATAGTCAGAAAAGAGAATGTCATCCCAGGTTTTCTTACTTGCAGAGCCCAATCCCTCTTGTCCAGCAGTCTCGCCACTAGCCTACATTTCTGATGGCATCGCCAGCACGTTAGGGAACAGCAGAACACAAAGAAAGACAGGGGAAATCTGAGCTGTCCTGTAGCGAGCTAGACATGCCTTGCCCAGCCCTGTTCCTTCAACATACACCCTGAGCAATGGCAAAGCCACGTCGCTTTGTTCCTGTATCGCACGTTTGTCTCTGCTATCTGAGCACCTGAGAATTGGACGGGCTGGGACAAGGGGCAGATTCGATTGCTGAGAACTGGACAAATGCAGCAGGCCAAGATTTTCCAACCGGGCTCCCCGAACTAGAGCAGCGGGAGCAGCGCTCACGCAGACGCCTGCGGCTGCCGCGCGTCAGCTGGACGCCTCTGATAGCTGAGTGGTAGTAAAGGCTGAAAAGAAGAGAAACTTTGGGCCAGATTCCAAGAGTACTAAATAAATGCTGTAAGCAGAAGATAAGTTCTGTTGCCTAGAGCTATTTTGGGATTATAGCAGAGTAATTTATAGCAGAATCCACTCCATTGTGCCACGGTTTTACTATTCACTGCTGTTTGTAGTTCTGAGAAACATTTGTGCTTGTCACATTTGCTCAGAGTGTAAATTGCCCCGTGAGGCCATGAACGAGCACAGTTTACTCAGTCATTTTGTGTTCCGGATACCCAGCACAGTTACTTTTTTATCCAATGCTTACATGGATAAAACTTCCTGAAGATGCTCCATGGAAAAGTTTGTTTTACAACTTACCTCCCTCACCATTAAAGTCCCTTCCCTTGAAATATTGCTAAACGTATCTGCATGGGATGTCTCCAGATTGTGGGTCGTCACCATGCCCAGGTTGTATGGCTCATTGCTTCCAGGAATTCCTGTGGGTCTGAGGACAGAGAAGAAAGGCATTAGGTACAGAGATATCTACCAATGCAGTATTATTATTTCAAGTGAGGTTGATGCGTCTTCATGCGTAATAGGAAGAGTGGTGAAGAAGTAGGTTTTGGTGCAGTTTTACTATGTGCCTGACCTTGTAACTCTGCTCTACCTGGCATTTTTTCTTTTTTAATAAAGCTAAAGAAAGATCCACAATCCTTATTCCTCACCTTGCCCCCTGAAAGGGGAGCCATGCACCGGAGGATCCAACACATCAGAGAACAACCCTTGTCAAACACACGGTGGCTAACGCGTCTCCCCATGATGACCACCCTGCAGCCTCACCATGCGTCCCTTGAAGAAACAGCTTCTTACATGAGCCTTGGAATGTCGCTGACCGGCACGGTGCCATCCTGCGCCTCGTTCTCACCATCCTCCTCTTCCTCCTCACTGCTCTCGGACTCCTCGCTGGAGGAGGAGTAGTCAGTGACCTTCTTCAGAGGGCGGTTGGTCTCCTCGATGCGCAGCTCCCTCAGCTCTTTGGCCAAGGCCGTCAGATCCTAAAGGGGATGGGAGGCAAGAGAACAAGGAACCAGCAGCTATTATATTTAAAGAAAGGAAAACGTCAACACACAGTTCTTCAAAAGCCAATGCTAACAGCACGAGCAACAAGAAATAGCTGTACGGAGTCGTTACAAACATGAGACAAACGTAAGACAATGTTTGGAGCATGTAGCATTTATTAAACAAAACAAAACTGATTTATGCTCACTGAAAAATCAATAGCCAACCTGCTCTTTTTCTGTTTGGAACGTGTATGTGTATATATATACACACTTATATGTATATACACGACAAAAGTATACTTATTGGAAAAGGTGAAGTTCAGTCACCATCATAGTAAACTGGAAAACAGTGTAATTTCAAAGACAGGCTTGGAGAATTTCTCCTGCAGGCTTGTCTCCTCTTTCAGACTTCTCAGAGAGACCCCATAAATTGTATTTATTCTGTAATAAATGCGTTTGGGAAGAAAGCAATGAGAGCGTCTGCCCCGGAGGGGGGCAGTCCCCGAGCTGGGAGCTGTGGCTGCAGGGCCGTGCCGGGCTCTGAGCCAGCCACGGGATTAAAAATCAAATCAAATCAAATCATTAAAAAAAAATCCTGCAGTGGGAGCCATTAAGCGCTTTATGTGAAATGCGGCAGCCTACAAGCTGAGAGAGAGAAAAAAAAAAAAACTTGAAAGAAGAAAAAAGGATAGGAACAGTCCCAAACCCTATCAGAAATTTTCCAGTTTTCAGTTTCGGTTTTCAGTTTACCATGACTTTGATGAGGCCTGAGACCCGACAGTCATATAAAATAGACACTGTTATTTCAAAACAAGGAACATGGCAGGCACCGTGTAGAAAATAGACTTTTTGTTATCTTACATGCTTTTATAGCAATGCAGGGGGAAGCAGTAGGGCAAAAAAGCATGAGAGCTCTAATTAGAATGGGTTAGAGTACTCCGTTGCACAACACATGCACATGACGAACACAGCATCGCAATTGCCAGTCTTACCATTTCTCCCTATATTAGTGACCGAGGTAGCCATCAGTGCATTCGGTCAGAGATAAAGGATTAGGGAGAAAGAAACTCATTGAAAAATACTAAATTCCACAGTTGTCTTATGGCCATATTCTCTCTTTACTGCATTCCACAAATTTCCAGTTTCCCGTTCCAGCAGAGCGACTAGAGCAATATTAATTACATTTGCAAAGGGAGAGCTCTAAAATCTATCCCGTCGACATTGGAAGAAAGCGATGAAAAAAACTTCTATTGCTGAGATGGAAACCCAGTGTATTTTTAATCAGGAATCGGTAATATTTTGCAAGCAATTTGTACTGCAGTTATTGGTTATTCTTAAGGACATAATAATATCTGTTGTGTCATTTGGATTAGAACCTAAAATGAAGGACTCGTTGCTTCGAGTGGAGCAATCATTTATCCCTAATTCTACACAAATCAAACGCAAACGCTTTATTGACATTTAAATTTTGCCCTCAAGTCACACCGCCTTGTGGCTGCTGCAATGAGGAATTCTCAGGAACCATCCATCATTGAAATTCAAAGGAAAGTGATTGCCCCTGGAGCGCGGTGGGGCTGGTGGCTCGCGGGTGGCACGTGGACAACCCCATTCTGCTCCCAGGAAAGCCCTGCTGGGCTCCCAGCCGAGGTGACCCCACATGTTTTGGCTGTTTGGGCAGATATCCTTCCAGTTTTGCTGGCTGTGCCATTTGAAAATCCTGTCTTTCCCCCTCCTCTCCACCAACGTTAATCATTTTCCACATGGCAAGAGAAGAAACACGAGGAGCAATTTTAATCCTCTAAAAAATCTTAAAGTTTTATCCAGGTTCTGAATAGCAGCTAAGAAATTTGGTTCATGCTGAAGAGCGTGACTAGATGTGAAGATGTGGCTCAAAGTCCACTGACCTGAAGAAGTCTCCCATGGACATCAGAGGACTTTTCATCAAACCCATAAATATTAGCACGCAGGGGAAAAAATAAAGTCTATTTTAAGGAAAGAAATCGATCTCTGCTTCACAGCAGACCCAGCTGGCAGGTATCCTGCATCCCTCTCCAAATCAAAACGCTCTCTGCAACTTTAAGGAAAGACTCTTTATCACGAGTAAGGAGAGAACATGGTATTTAAAGAGTTATTTTTGATGCCAACATGTTTGGGATTGAAACACAGTCAAACTTGGAGTCATGACAACTAATTCCTCTAATTAATGCTGCAGCAGCAACTATGACATGCTCTTGCTTCTGCTCCTAAAGAAGTCAAAGAAATGTGAAGGGCCTAACGATGCGCCCAGTTTAGAGCAAATAACATGCTCTTTGCCAAACGCCTCCTTCGATTTGGCTCGGAGCTTCCTCAACGTTATGAAGGGCTTCAGGAGAAGGCTCTTACACAGCCTCTTAAAATCGGAGCTGAGCTTCCTGCACTCCCTATGGAAAATCCCTCTTCTTTCTTGCACCTTCCAGATCCAAACAAAACTCACGGGGCTACCGCAGTGCAGCCCTGCCTGGCACCCAGCACAGCTGGCTGGGACTTCAGCGAGGGCAGTGGTGCCATCCCATCCTGACGCTCCCCTCATCCCTCCCAGCCATCCCAGCTCATCAGTGTACGTATGCCTCAGCCTTCCGTGGCCATCACTGCATGGTAGTTAGCCAAATGTTTTAAAAATCTGCTTAATTAGTTTTTAATAACTAATTTGGAAGTTATAATGGCAATAATAGTCCCAGACAATATCATCAGATAACTCATATTTTCTACTTAAAGCTTTGCCTCGGGATGGTTAATTCTTTGATGCTATCATTTTCGCTAGATAATGAGCACTTTGTAGGATTAAACGGCTTCACTGACTTGCTCTTGGACCAAAAACAATCCAACAACTAGAGAGCGAGAGCTCTAGATCCGAATGTGTTTGAAATGTTATTACTGAAGGTGACATAATATATAAGTTAGCAGTATGCATGCTCTTTAATTACTTCTAATTATAAAGACTTCTTTAGATTTGCTGGAATCAAGTCAGTTTAGCTTCCAAAACCATATAGCTCATTTAACTGGAATTTAGAATACAGGCTGCCTCTATTTAGATACTGATTTATGTGCTTTTTCCTTAACAAGCCTCCTCATTAAACAAACTCTACTGCTAATGGTTTATCCAAGAGAACACATTAGCTAATCAGCACATTGTTTTCCTTCTTCCATATATTTTACTCCTTACAGGAACAGCTTGCAGGAAAGGCTGCTGATACCAGTGCTTTCAGTGACCACTGCACAGTTAAAGCACACAGGAGACAAGTTAAATAAGAGATCAAGAAGGTTTAGCCTTTTCCCATGAACATTTAAAAACTCGCCATCATCAGATGTGCATACAAAATATAATTGTATGATAAAAACAGCAACTCAGGACTACACTGTTTTAATAGGATAGACTGAGACTAGCACTGCCAATCAATGTACTGCACATTAACACTAGCTTTGAAACATTTTCATTTAACCCAATTATGTGACAGCCATTGCACTGTGGTTATCAGGGTGATAATGGGCAAATTTGGAAGCAAAGACATGTAAGACCCAGTCAAACTGACTAACGAAGTCCATGCATGGCGTCTGACGATGCAATTTTTAACTGATGCTGCCTCAAACGTTTGCTGCTCTTCTGGTTTTCTAGCAAGATCCAGACAGTCCATGCTGGCTTGGACCCTGTCCTCAGGTCTCCAACTACGTCTCTGCAAACTCTTTTCCATTCGGAATTAGACAAGCAAACTTAGCTGGTGTCTGGGAACGAGAGGTCCCAAGTCCTGAGGTTTCTGCCCTCACACCTATGAACCTAGGAAGAACATTTTTTTACATGTTAGAATGAGCTCAACAAACTTATTCTGTTCATGGCAAGTTCATACTGTTTTCTATGCAGCAGCAAATCTTAACAGGGTATAACTGATCTCCTACTCCCAACATGGTTATTGCCCATCTCTGTCCATCTCCCTCTGTTTTCTATTAGGTTGTAATTTTTAAAGTAAAAGCTTGACATGGGAAAAATGGAAATGTCTGAGACACTTCTCAGGATCTGGAGCGCACCGTGCATGGACAGCACCAACCTCCTCTCTCTTTCAGCTCAGCAGAAGCAGTGGTTGAGCAAGTCCTGCCAAACCTGGCCCTGCTGCTTCCAGCAAGGACTCACCTGGACTTTGGGTCTGACAGCAGCCAGGAGCAGCCATCACTGGAAAAACCCAGCGCTGGCAAGAAAGGCAACTGGGAGAGCTAAGATTGGCCCCATGTGCAGTGTTGCCATCGGGGTAAGCACAGATTTCCGAGTTCACCTACCAGCGGGTGAAGAGCATCTGCCCACGAGAGTGAGACTCTCAGCTGGTGTAAACCAAGACAGCTCCAGGGACCCTCCATTCGCACTGACCATCTGGTTCATAGCAATGAATAATCACTGTACTCCACTACTCTGTTTTCTTCTACTTGCCAAGTGCCTTCGCTTCAATCAGGTTTCAGTATCGTTCAGTCTTCCCACTGAAATCAATGGGCTCGCGTGGGCTGCAGCTGAGAGCAGAATGAGATGTGCCGCGCTCGCCGTCCGCACCCCCTCCGTTAGCGCAAGGAAATTCTGGTCTTGCTCTTTCGCTTTCAAATATGCACAAGGGCAGCAACGCGCGTTGCCCGGCACGTGAAGCGCTCACGTGCTTCTCACCACGGCCTCCATGCAAGAGGGTTTCACACAGCCCATGTATGAGCAGAACAAACCGACCGGTCCATCTCCCTCCCCTCTGCTGGCCCACTACGCCGAAAAACACAATCTTTTGGTCTGAAAAGATTGCATTGCCACCTTTATGAATGTCAGCACCGAGAAAACCCAGTTTGATATTAAGCGCTAACTAGGCGACCTTGCATAGGCATGACCCACTGAGAAAAGATATCACTAACCTCATCTATAGCTTTCTTATAGCTCTGTGAGTAAGGGAAGATTAATCAGCATCAGAGGAAACAGATTCGGGACAGGAAAAAGCCAGAGGAAGGGCAAGCAGGTTAGAAATAAAATTAGAATTGTTAGCTCAACGCTGTGGAGTGTAAAGAAAAAAACAACATCAACAAAACATTAATACACATTCAGAAAAGAGAAAGCAGTGGAAATTCATTTAGGTTATTAGGCCAACTGTGCAGTTTTAAAGTACAAACGTCACCAACATTAAACCGGAGAGGAACACTCTGGGCGAGGCTTTGGTGGGCCTTTGCCAGCGGAGCCGCAAGGCGAGCGCGCAGAGGAGGTCCCGCCAGGTCTGCCTGCCGACCGCGAGGCCTCGGCGAGACTGCGTGGAACCTGCGTCGCGAGGAGCGTCCCCACGGGGAGGCTGGAGTGGAGCCTGCGCCACAAGGAGCGTCCCCGTGAGGAGGCTGGAGTGGAGCCTGCGCCACAAGGAGCGTCCCATCCCCTTGGGAAGGCCCGCGCGGGGCCTGAGCCCGGAGGAGCGTCCCCTTGGGAAGGCCAGCGCGGAGCCTGCGCCGTGAGGAGCGTCCCCGTGGGGAGGCCAGTGCAGAGCCTGCGCCACGAGGAGCGCCCCTGTGGCGAGGCTGCGCGGGAGCCGCCGTGCTGCCCGGAACACAACACTGTGCCCAATGCCAACGCCGGCCCCAAGCTAGTGAAGCACTTAAGCCTCTGCTGGAGGCTACACTGCGGCCTTAAGTGCCTTCCCCTAGGCTTGGGTCACTGATCGAAATCATGCACTCTCTTAAGCACTGCGATCTCTCACAGGCTCTTGCCAGAGTGTTGCTTTCGAGTCTCTCGGCTGGAGGAGCAGTGGCACTAGCCTCTTTTTATGGGTCCCCAAGGTTGTGCTATGGCACCGAACGGAAACATGGCCAATCCGGTTGGCAACATTTCTGCAGGAAATAATTCAAGACTCACAGCAGGTCGGCTTGGTCGCGTCACGTCTCGGTTGTCTTCCTGTTTTATCTTCGCAGGCTCATGCGGGAGCACGGGTGACCCCTCTGGCTTGACATTTCCTGGGCAAAAGGAAGGCAGGGACAGCGGGGAATCAGAGGTGGGGGAATCAGCAGCTCTGCAGCATCTGACTCTGAGAGGAGATTATCTGTCTCAGCATCCCTCATTAGTAAAAACAAAAACAAACCCAGAAGGACGACTGGCAATAAGTTACTTTTATTGACTACCTAGAGAGGTGTGATTATTTCAACAAACAGACACGTCATCTTCTAGCCAAGTCATAAAAAATTCAAAGCATGCAGGCAGCGTTTGTTTTAATGTGCTCCAGCTCAGTGGATTTATATTCCAGGGCTGTGACAGAAATGCAGATAAACTGCCTGTATGTGCCTGAGCAGCTCCTGGTGAGATTAAACAGCAGAACAGGAGATAATTTTAAGAATGGCTTTAAGATGCTGGGGAGCGGTTCCGCTAGGAACATCGACCCACCGTTCACAAAGCCCCTTTCTGCAAGCATTTCGGAGAAAGTTACTTAGTGGCCAATTCCTGTCTCTGCTCCCATCTCACGCTTCGGGTGCAAAGGGTTGCGGAGGGGCAGGTTTTATCTCGGAAAACGGGTCGCCGGGAGCGTCTGGAGGGAGAAGCCAGCTCACCTCTGACTCGGTTGCGCTCGCTGGAGCCCGCCTGGGAGCCGGGCTGGGAGCCGCCCTGGGAGCTGGGCTGGGAGCTGGGAGTGCTGGAGCTGGAGGAGCTGCCGCTGCTGGTGCGCTGCAGCGGGCTCTCCAGGATGGGCTCCGTGCGCCTCAGGTCCGGGTTGCTGCGGGAGCACAGACACGGCGTCAGCGGGGGCCACGTGCGTCTCGGCTCTGTCCTCACTGAGACGGTGGCCGTGTCGCGCCTGCGTACAGCACGGCGCAAAGCACCGTCACAGCCACCCCACAGTATGTGCTGAGGCATTTTGCAAGGACGTCTCTGTAGGTAATGGCTTCCACAAGCCCCAAAATCACCCAGGATCTTATGGTGTCTTGAGAAATGCTTAACTGATGCAGAGGGCTGGGCTCTAGGCACATTGACGAGGCCTGTAGAGCATCTTCATTTCTAAGGCATATGCTGACACTGCCCGCACACACACACAAAGCCACAAGTGCTAACGGGCCATGGGAAAGTCCAATCTGCCTCTCTCCGATGGCCTGTGCTCCATGTGTCTCATGCAAGGCCTAATGTGAGGTGACAGGACACCTCTTCTGTTGGAGATGACACGACTGAAGTCTGGCCTCCTCAAGCTACTGATCCTGCAAACCCCACTAAACCCCATGGAAGCTTGGTGACCACACAACCTCTTTATGGAGCTGGACTGTAACCACAAAGAAAGATCATTAGAGCAATTTTATACTATTTTGTTTTGCCAGATGCAGCAAGAATTAGAAGACTGCTTGCTTGGAATGCTATTTCACCCCTAGACATGCACTGTTGGATTTATCTGCATCAGCCAATAGTCATTGTAAAATTAGGAATTTGCAACTTGCTGTTAAGCTGTGAAACAAATGTTTCAGTGAAGAAAAAGAACTCAGGTTTGCAACAAGGCTGCAAATTACTTTTGCTGCTTATTCACACTTCCTAGTTTTCATGGTTTCCTATGTCAGCCACTTCAAATTTGCGTAAGTTACCCACTTCAGGCATTTTCTTCCTTGATTTCTTTACCCCCTGTGAACATACATAAATCTAGAATAAAAGCTTCCTTCATATACAAAGAGTGACTAATATTTCTCAGGTTATCAGATGCCTTTGGGGCATTAATTCTTATTGGCACTGAAATGGCACCAGAAGACATGCTCATGCAGAGTTATGCAATTTGTTTTTATGCAAGACTTCTGTCAAGTGATCTTATTATTCAAAGTCCTGTTAAAAATGTATAGAAAGCTTTTTCCACAGAGTCCAATTAGGACCTTGTGTACATTAGAATTATGCTGGAATACTGCCACACTACATAATGCAGCTGCAATCAAAGGCATTGAGCATTAATGTAAGGTGTGTGCTGTGCCACTGTGCATCATTCAGAGCTGCTCAGAGACTATCAGAGTGGCACAAACTGGCTGGGTTGTGCACAGCCCCGTTGTCACAGCTGGGTGACTGGCAGAATCACTTGGACATGGCCTTAACATGGATATTACACTGAATTGCTGCCTAGTGTTATCTTGCATTTACCCAGGCACTTACTAAAATGATAAAAGCAAGATAGTGGCTTTCTGTGCAAGGAACTATCTCGCCAGTCATTATGGGGGTGTTACACATAAAAGAAAGCATATTTTTACCATATTAATTTATGCATGGGAGGAATCAAGAACCATGAGCAGAAGTGGTTAAAAAAGGAAAATGTGAGAAATGCTGCATTATCGTGAAAGAAATAAATGTTATCATTTCACCGATGAGTTAGTTTAATGGACATTTTTGCTTTGTAATCATTTCCAATTTTCATCAAACTGAAGGCTTTCAGCTCAAATGGTATGGCTGACTAAACTAATTCATGAAATGCATCGGAAACTTTGGCAACTTATATATGTGCCTGCGTAGGTCAGAACTGGGATCGTGAGGCTGAGGGAAACACTGTAACCTTCACCTGGAATCCTACAGGCTCACATTATCATTTTTACTCGACGCCTTCACATACTAGGGCTATACTGTCCAACATCCTACTGCATTTTATATCATATTTCAGGTGATAGTCTGAAAATTAAATTACTATTTAAGAATTAAACTAAAAGAGCAGCATTTTCAAGAACTCAGAATGCCTCAGTCCTAAGCAATAAAAATCCATGATATGAATGCCTTTTTTCTCTCATTTTAAAAGATTCTTGCCTTCCTCTTCCTGCCAGCCACCTAAGCTGCTGCCCGCTGTACGCGAGGTTGCTGATGCATGTTCAGGCACTCAGCTGGAAAGAAGAAGGCATATGCTGAAAAGCTGGTTATAGAGCACAGCATATGGCTACGAATATGCCAGCGTTCACTACTTGACCTAGACCTAAAAGGACAAGGCAAGGAATGGAAATCAGAGAGCTCCTTCATACCACGCTACGCGGATCACAGGTTTATCCAGAGTCCTTCCCATCCACAGTGTCTTCTCTGTCTTCCCCAGGAACATTTTAATGTCAGTGGCAGGTTAGCTGGGAAAAGATCCTTGTCCTAGGAGGTCAAAACTGCTTTCTTTCTTGATCTGTGTCCCAGCAGGACTGAGATCTTCTTTAGACTGAGATCTACCTTAGTGCAGCACAATGCTCCTCACTACACCTAGAGGTGAGGTTGGGAGAACCTGGACCTATTCCTGCTAAACTGTCCAAATTCTTGTTCAATTCCACAGCATCCAGCTAGAAACCTCATCCAAGAACAGACTTAGGCCAGTCTGAAGGGAGCAAAAGCAATAGGAATCTAAACACTCCCAGCTCTCGAGTGTGACACGAAACATTAAGGAATGTGAACCTAGTGCATCCCAGCTTAGGGCTGCAATAGCAGTACTGCAAATCTCTTGTTTTCACATACCAGGGCTCCCTGTCTGCTCAAAGGATGTGGGAGCTGGTGTGTGAAGAGGAAATCTGGAATGAGGTATGGGTTATTAACACTGTGGGATTATTCCTGCTCACCATGCTCGGTCTCCCTTACCTCGCACGGATCGGCTGGGATCCCAGTCGGGGTCCCAGTGCGCTGCCGTTGCCCGGGGAGTTCTTCCTTGCCAGAGCGGGGGATATGGAAGTGGTTCGTTGAGGCACCTGGAAAAGAAACGAAGAAAGTCACAGTCATTGAGTTTGCCCAACTAAATTAGGCTGCTGCTCACACTTCTGAGAGATCGGGTTTCAGCATTTCCTTAAGATTCAATATATAATTGATTTCCCACTGAGAGAGATGCAATATTTATAGCAATTATAAAACATAAAGCTCTTGGCTTTTACAAGGAACCGTCTGAGCAGGAGATGGATGGGAACTGCAGAGGTGTGCAGCGCAGAAGAGCCCGCAGCACCACGCAAAGCGGCGCTACCGGCGGGCAAAGAACTTCTTTTCTCAAAAGCTGAATGTATACACATATATATACGCATATAAGTACCCTAAATTAACAAAAAAACCCAACACGGTGTGGAGTTTTTAATACAAAATTCTCTATGCAGCACATTTCAGCAGCCACTGTGAGATTTTTAGGGGTGTCTAGATGGGGTATAGCACATATACTATTAGAGGGAATGTGCTGACTGCTGGTTAATCAAGAGGGCTGACAGTGGGAAGATCCAGGCTGAACTGCTCAGTGCTCTTGGCCAAATCAAGGCAAAGGCCGGGTCACATCGCCCGGGCTGGCACCCGCTCGTCGCATCCTAGCTCTGAAATCGCTGCAGCAGCGTCATGCGGAAAAACACACCGTACTTGTGCCTGCCAGAAGGAGGTACGGCAATACTCACCTGTGGAATACCTTGCACCAGGTAATAGAGAGGCCAAAAGCTCAGCAGGGTTAGCAAAAAAAGGATCAGGTAATTTTTTTGGAGAATAAACACACAGTTACGTTAGACAAGCCAAAATGATTCAGCGAGAGACAGCCTTATATTCTGCATCATAGCTAGCAATAACTTATTCATTCACTAAAAAGAAATTCCCCCTATGGGCAGGTTACTCTGCAATCATGATTTTTGAAGTTTCTATTACCTTCCTCTGAAGCATCTAGTCATGAACACTGGCAGAAACAAGACACTGGACCCAGAGACAGCCAGCCCAGGCTCCTGCGACAGTCCTTTGGTTCCTGGTTCCTATTTATTTTTCTCAGTAAAATGTGAAGTCAGACTTTATGTCTATTACTGCAGATCCAACAGCTTTAAATGTGAAGCACTGTCTGGAAGGGGGAGCTTTTCCATAGCTTGGGGTTTCTTCAAATGTAGGGGCACATACTCTGTAGTGCCCAAAAGAACCAGCAGCCGTGCTATGATGGAGCATGGCTGCAATTAAAACAGGTGCTGTTCCCAAAAGACTCCAGCAAAACGCAGCACCACACAGCGCTGTTTTCAATCTAGCCAGTATTAAACCCCAAGGGATTTTCAAAATCCGCGTCAAGGGTCAGTTTGTGAGGACGGGCTGCTTCGGCTCTCACCAGATCCAAGGTGGGAACTGAGTGGGACCATCACTTGTGAGCAGAGGTGTCACAGGGGAGCAGCTGTCTCTGCAGGTGGTGGGTTTGGGGCTGGGGTCTTCAGACCTGTTGGCTTGCCTTTCCTCTAAGCAAGCACTGATGTATCTTATCACTTGGTGGTAGCAGGAATAGAGTATTACGAAAACCGCTTGTGACATACCACCATGCAGCCTATTAGCTCTTAAAAACACAAATCGCTTGTTAATCCAAAGAAAAACTGCCTCTCAATCATGGACAAATACTACCCGCTCTGCTGCCGCTAATCGATTTGAAGGATTTTTCTCTGTAAAAATCCACCCAAGCTGAGGGCTGATTCACTGTAAGGGGAATTTTAATGGCTGAGTTATAATTCATCCAAAATGAAGGTGTATAAACAATGCAATCGAAATACCAGAGCAGAAGAGTCTTAATTAAAGAGGTACTGCCAGATGCTGCCATCACGTCATTGGAGGTATAAAACTGCTGGAGCCCTTACAAGTCTTCCATCAAATATTGATTACGACTGGAGGCATGGCACGGGGCTAAAAGGACTCGTCTTAGTGCATATGACAAATTTTATGTGCCTGCAATTCTATTTAAACAGACGACTTCTTATCCTCGGGGGGAAGAGGAACGGGTTTGCTGGGGACTCGCTGCGTCTCGAGCTCATTCTGCGCCAGCGGGCCGAGCTACGGAGCAGCGGCGGCACTGCCCCCTTCCCGTGCTGCGAGGGAGGAGCGGGAATGCTGTTACCTTTGGCGGGATGTCTTCCTCCTGCCGTAACCAAGAACTTCGGTCAAACTTTTCAATGCGAGGGGGCAGAGGAGGGTTTTCTGAGGTGGGGTCCGAGTTCTGCCTTGGCATCTCGGGGCGGTGAGAGGCCACCGTCAGAGCCTCCTGAAACCCAGCCATCCCCTTGGCAGGCTGTTCATGCAGGGACTGAGAGCCAGACAAGGAGCTTCCTTGGGATTTCACAGTGACCAGATGTGGAATCTAAGCACCAAGTCAAAACAGAACTATCAGTACAAGGTGGAAAAAATAAATTAGAAAAGATTAAAAATTTGATTTAGAAAAAAAAAAATTTGATTAGCAGTTCAGATGCACTAAAAAGCCCCCTCAGGTTGAGACCAGCACCGCCTCGGTTTCAGGAACTTCTGACTTACACCAAATGAATGCAAAAACTCTTAAAAAATCATGGTCGCACAGCTGAGCGTTTTAAAGCCAGGAGATGCCCCAAAGTGCATTTGAGTTCTGCCCGTTTCTGCCTACACCGCGGGGCCATAGGCACGCGGACGCACGGCCAAAAAAACTGACCCTCCAGCTATCAAGCCCGCGTCTCTAACATTGTGCTAATGATGTCTGGCATGGAATCTGGGTGTTAAAAATAAAGGAAACAATAATAAATAATAATTTAAAAATATTTAGGAATTCTGAGGCACAGATGGCTTAAAAAAACACCTGGAGAAATGAGTTGCTATAGGTACAGGTAGCACCCTATGCTATGGATGAAACTTGTAGATCTAAGGCTTGTAAGTGACAGGAAGACTGTCACCTGGGTGGGAAAACTGGGACTGGTTCTTTCCCAGGGCCACATAATGACTGCAATGGCCCCTTTGACGCAGCACAGAGCTGTAACATTTATTTCAGTGTAAGCATGACATTTATGCATATATGTGCACACATACATGCACTGCTGCCCAGATTTCAGGTGATTTTTTTATTAGTATCTTAGTCAAAAAACACCTTGCAGGTGGTGGCAACATATGTCACCAGACAGAGTGAGAAGGATTTGGTTTTTTTCAAAGGATTCAGGAAAAACCAGATTGCGCTTGGTCAGTCAGAGACACTGCTATGAAATGTGGCTTTGTGGCTTAAGTTTGGATTATATTGGATTATATGTGGATTATATATTTGGGGAAAAACAGCTGTATAAGGGCTTCCCTTCAAGTGTTTTATTTAAAGTTGGCATTGTCCTGCTGACCTGTAGATGCCCACAGCACAAGCTGGTGACACTTATCAGTGTATTTTCCCACAGAAAGCCCATGTGAATCTGGACCAAAACGCTGGTTCCTCCCCTCTGAAATCCACGCTG